ACACCAGAGTACCCAAAACCATCTTGAGAAATGACTGAATTCTAAACTTTACATCTGGATAATTGAGATAATACTGCCTGGCTACTTCTACATGAGGGATGGAGCATCAAGTCATCAAGTGTTGTAAAGTTTGGAGATCTGAAACTTTATATATGTACACACACATGCACACAGAGAGAAAGAGGCAGTGTCCTCAAGAAAGTAACACATTTTTATCCTAGTTACTAAAAAACAAACAAAACAACCCCTTATTGCCAACATATTGGAACAAACTCATATCTCCAGCAGGATTTTGTTGTTGTTGCTGTTATGTGCTGTCAAGTTAGAACTGACTCATAATTAACTCCCCAGCAGTATAAATCACAAAGGAGGAGATTGCCCACCTTTCTCTCTGAGTCATTGGTAGGTTCACACTCCCAGAAAACCAGCACAGCCTTCTATGGACTACCTCACCAGATCTCCCTGCAGTCTAGAAAAGGAAATGTTTTTGAAGTATGTGTATACATACACTTATACACACATACATGTACACATACTGAGTTGCTAATTATTAACAACCTTGGCTATTAGCTAGAAGGTTGGAGGTTTGAGTGCACACAGGGATGCTTTAGGATAAGTCTTCACTGAAAACCCTCTAGAGCATAATTCTCCTGAGATAAGTATGGGGTTGCATGAGGAGGAACAACCTGACAGTGACTGGTAACCAGTTTACATATTTCTATTGTTGTTCTTAGATGCTGTCAAGTCAACTATGACTCTTAACAACCCTGTGAACAACAGAGCGGAATCTTCCTGTGCTGTGCCATTCTCATGATCTCTGCCATGCTCAAATGCATTGTGGTAGTGACTGTGTCAGTCTATCTCATTGAGGGTCTTCCTCTCTTGCACCAACCTTCTGTCTAGGATTTTCAGAGTTCTCTTATTTTAAAAGTGCCTTCTTAGTCTATCTTGGTTTGAAAGCTCAACTGAAACCTGTCCACCATGGGTGACCTTGCTAGTATTTGAAATACTGGTGGCATAGCTTCTAGTATCATTGTTGTTGTTACGTGCTGTCAAGTTGCTTTCAACTATGAGTTCTATGAGCAACCTCTATGTACAATTATCTCTGAACCTTATCCTATCTTGAGCCAATCTCACTATCACCTACACACATGCCCTTATTACCCCAGTCACTGTGTTAATCCATCTTATCCAAGATCTTCCTATCCTGCGCCATCCCTTCACTCTTCCAAGCATGATGTCCTTCTTTAACGATTGGCCCTCCTGGCAATGTGCCCAAAGTATGTGAGACAGAGCTTCAAAATTCTTGCCTCAAAGAAGCAGCTTGATTTCTCCCTCTCCAGGACAGGCCTGTTTGCCCTATTGGCAGTCCATGTATGCTCAGTACTCTTCTTCAGCACCACAACTCAAAGGCATCAATTCTTCTATCATCTTTAGTCATTGTCTAACTCCTTCGTGCATAGCAGGTAATTGTGAAGACTGTGTCTTAGATCAGCACACCTTAATCTCTAGGCTAACATTGTTGCTCTTCAACACTATGGATCAGATTTTCCCAATGCAATTCATTTCTTTTTTATTTCTTGAGTGCTGGTGTCAAGAAGGTTATTTGTGGAATCATGCAAGGTGAAATTATTAACAATCTCAATCTCTTCTCCATCTAGCATGATGCTACCTATTGGCCCAATGGTAAGAATTTTTGATTTCTCGATGTTGAGCTTCAGTCCAGATCATGTTGTTGTTATGTGCAAGCAAATCACCTGTGACTCATAGTGACCCCAAGTACAACAGCTCTGAACCCTGCCCTATCCCGAGCCAGTCTCACTGACTCTGACAACCTAATCCCAATGTCCCAGTTACCATGTTATTCCTTCTCATCTGAGATCTTTCTCTCCTGTGCTGTCCCTGCACCCTTCCAAACATGATATCCTTATCCAAGGACTTATCCCTCCTGGCAACCTGCAAATCACCATAGTATAACAAATTGACAGACAGATAGTAGAGCTACTGATCAGCTAATGTTTTGCAATTAAAAAAATTAATCGACTAATTTGTCACATGTCAGTTCTTCCATTTCTGATTTTCTAAATTGAGAATGGAAGTTTTATTCATTTGCAGCAAAGCACAGTAACACTGGAGGTAGACATCTTGGTGTTTGAGGTTTTCTTATTTTGTTTTATCATTAATCTGACTTTTAATGAAATATAAATGAAATTTTTAATTTGAGACATGAAAAGCTTTTTAATACTCAGATATTTTTCAGTGATCTAATTAATACTTGTTGCAGCTATGTGGTGAAGAAATGAGGGAGAGGAAATGGATGGATGAATTAATAAATGAGCAAGTAGGTATTGGATAGAATTATCATCTAGTGAGGTTGGAGTCTAAGAAATAGAAGCAGTTGATTGCCATCTATATGTTTCAATTATGTAGAACTATTTTCATCGTTTGCTTGTCTCTCTTTCAACAAACTGTGCCAGTGATTTGGAGAGATATTTGTTGGGATTTAACTGAAACACAGAAGCAATCAAGAAGTTGAATCCTGGATTTTTTATAATTGAATGGCATTCCATTATCCGTATTGATTTGAACTTTAGTAAATTCAATTTTTGGTACTACTTGATTACTTTTAAGTCTTTCTAAAGCTTAAAAAAATGTTTCAACACAACTCAAGCAACATAAGAATTTCATCAATTGAAAACTAAGAATCATTTCTGTGGGATGTGTAAAACAAGAAGCTGACCAGCATTATTTTCTTTCTTTTCTTCCTCCCTCAGTATCATTATTGAGAGTTATTCTTGAATTTTATGAAAACCAGATTGAGACATGGTGCATGTTCTCTGTCGAGTCATGTTCAAGGAATTGAGACTGAAAATCATTCAAACTAGAAAAATATGACTAAAAATACAGTGTGCATTCCTGATTCTACCTCAGGGTATCTGAGATGGTTTCTAACAAGGAAGACCTTGGCAGCTAGGAGAACTGACTTTTTAGAAATGGAAGCTTAGATTAGTAATCAGAAAGATACTATGTGTATATGTATGTATATATCCATATGGCGGGTTTTCACCAGTCACTTCTTTACTTTGTTAGTGTATCAGTTACAATTTTTTTCATCTTCTCACCAGTTTGTTTGGAAAATTATGATTTCTCACTATGGTCCACAGGCAATAAAAAAAAAAATCAAATTGTTGGAATGTCATTCAAAGCCTTCTCTTGTCCAGCCTGGGCTACTTCTTCAGACTAACTTCCTACTACCCACCTCTTCTGGGCAGAGCCTTGCTGAGCCAAACTTGACTAGGGGCTGTTCACCAGCCTCTTCTTTATGTCTCCAGGCTTTTCTTCCCATTATCTTGCCTCTCATAAATGGTTGTGAATGATCCATATAGACGTCAACGTGTAGACTTTCCTTTATGAGATCTTTCTATCTGACCATTTCAACACTCCTCCTCTCTTACCTTCACACACACACACACACACACACACACACACACACATGCCATACGACTATGATTTAGTCATGACATATGTAGCCTTCAGTCCTACTACCTATGAGTCCAGGTTGTAACATGCACAAGCATACCTAGCCCAAGGGACAAGTCAAAAGTAACTCAAACACTGTGCTGTTGAGTCAGAAGTGCCTCATAACTGACCCTTCCACAGGGTTTTAGAGACTGTGTATGGCACAGGAGGAGATTTTCCCATCTTTCTCCTGAGGAGTCCCAGGTGGATTAGAACCACCTGCGGTGCATGATCTCATGATAACACAGAGGTGTTTGGGTTCATGGCTCAACTTCCCGGAGGCCATGGCCCGGAGAGCTCCCTTGAGGGATAAGAACAACAAACACAGCAAACCCTGTTACCAGACTCTCCAGTTACCAAGCATTATTGTGCCTGCCCTCTTATCTGTGTCCATGCAAAAGATGCTTCTTTCTCATACCACACAGAGACACTCTCTGGGCTAATTCTTTTCATCTGTGTATGCGTTTATAATTCTCCTTTCCAGAGCACAAGTCTGTTGAGGACAATGACTACCCCTCTATTCCCACAATGCCCGGAAGAATTACTTTCTACTTACAGCACCCATTCAGCGATTGTGCATTGGATTTAACTAAAGGGGTAAAATAGATTTCTAGAAAATAATTACATCAGTTTATTAATACAAATGTGCAAATTACTGCCCCCCAAAAAACCCCTCAGATCTGCTTCTTAGCAGCAGTAGATCAGTTGACTAGTCTGATTTTAAGAGCATCATGTCTGTCTCAGCTAAACAATTTCCTATAAACTACAGTGCCCAGTAGTCTTTTGTGGAATTTCAGAAACCACATTTGCGATGCTTTGAAAGACTATGGCAGAGTTGGACTGAAATTCATTTCCTACTGTTTGTTAAAATGGACAAAGAATAACATTAAGAATTGTCTAAAGTGGGCAGGGTAAAGATCAGGGAGAATTCCCATGGGAAGGGTGGGAACTTCGGGAAGAGCAAGTTGCATCAATCTGAGGTCAGTATACTTCCTAGAAGTCTGCATCAAACTTAGAGGAGGCGGGGAAATGAACTTCCTCTCAAAATCCTCATAGCTAAAGTTACTTTGCCTTTGCCAACATGATGCATGGTATAACTTGGTGTGCCTATTCCCTCAAAATAAAGAATCACCTTGTAAAAGTGTAAATGGAGAACTGACATTAGTTCTGTTGATAAATGGGAAATGTCCATCCACCACGCTTACAGACCACTAAACAATGGTGAACAACCATGGGTTTTATCCCTATTTGATGACAAGACCAGGACTTCAGATTTCAAATCTCAAGGGAAACTTCTGGACAACCTTTACTTCATATATCTGTACATGAAATCTCCTCCTCACTGTGCATTTACACCCAGTTTAAATGGTGTCACATTGTCCAGGATGTGTTGAGTTATACAATGTGCTGCTGGAGTTCTCTGACCATTAGATGGTACACTGAAATCTCTGGCACCTCTTTCTCTTTCTTTTTGCCTCCAGTCCTCAGTGATGTCCGTCTGCTTCGCCCGTTTCCATCCCAACTTGGTGGTCGGTGGGACTTACTCAGGCCAGATTGTCCTGTGGGATAATCGTAGTCATCGAAGGACGCCAGTGCAGAGGACACCCTTGTCAGCCGCTGCACACACGGTAAGTGGAGATTTTGTCATTCTTGTTGGCCACTCGAGTCCTGAAGTAAGAAGTAGCTCGATTCATATAACTACAGATTCCTCCAGTATCTCCAAGTTACAAATGCAAAAGCAAAAAAAAAAATTATTGTCATCAAGTCTAATAAGATACGTAATGATCTTAAAGAACAAGGTAGAACTTTGGCATAGAGTTTCCAAGGACTCAAGGACTTTAAGCCATTGGCCTTTCCATTGATAGCCAATTGCTTAACTGCTATGCCACCAGGGCTTCTAGCTCTACATTTATCGTTGTTAGATGTCATTGGGCCAAGTATGGCTCATAGCAACCTGACGAACAACAGATCTGAGTCTTCTCTTATCCTGTGCTATCCTCACTGTCTCTAATACACTTGAGACCATTGCTGCAGTCACTGTGACAATCCATCTCCTTGGGGCGGGGGAGGGGTCTTCCTCTCTTTCACTGACCCTCCACTCTTCAAAGCATGATGTCTCTTTCCAAAGAATACAATCTTAGCAACACGTCCAAAGCATGAGAGATGAAACTTCAACATCCTTTTCTCCAAGGAGCATGCTGGCTGCACCCTTTCCAGGATATATTTGTTCATACTTTTGGCAGTCCATGGGATATTCAGTACTGTTATACAGCACCATAACTCAAAGGCAGCAATTCTTCTGTCATCCCTATTCATTGTCCAGCTGAAGCAGGTGATTGAGAAGACCCTGGCCTGAATCAGGCACCTATTAATCTTCAAACTGATTTCATTGCTCTTCAGTATTTTGGAGAGGTCCCTGACAGCAGACTTGCCCAATGCAATATGTCTCTTGATTTTCTGACTGCTGGTACCAAGGGTGTTGATTGCTAGAAGTGTCAAATTTGTAATGATTTTATTTTGATCAATTAATATGAAACCAAGCAAAAAAAAATAAGTGAAGGAAACACTGGGATTGTAAAAATCTCATAATATACAACCTCCAGTGCTGAGGCTTCGTCTGACATACTTTGGTCATGTTGTAAGGAGAGTCCGGTCCTTGGAGAAGGACATCATGCTTGGGAGGGTAGAGGGCAGGCGCAGGAGGGGAAGGCCCTCTATGAGGTGGATTGATTTGGTGACTGGGGTAATAGGGATGAGTGTGTCAGAGGCAGTGAGGTTGGCACAGGACAGAGCAGAGTTTAGGGCTGTTGTACATAGGGTCGCTATGAGTCACAAGCAACTCGACGGCACATAACAACAACAACAACAGTGTGTAGAAAACATCCCTATAGATGGCTCAGAGCCAACACTGAGAATGGATTAAAACTATAGAATACAGGAATTGAAGCTTTTGGAAGAAGGATTTGGGGGAATGTTTTCCTAGAGAAACTCCTCACATTTATGTTAGTAACTGGAAATATGTATTTTCAAATTAAATCTGAAAGACTAAGCATTGGAATAGTTTATAGAATTTTCTCCTTTTTCTTTTCTATTTGAGACAGTACTATGACTTTAAGTTCTGGAATGTGTGGTGTAAGTCTCAATGCAAAGTCTACAGTGACAGTATAATCCGTAAGGTGAAAAGTCAACATCTCAAAACTATTACTTATAATTTAGTAGAGGAGCCTCATATAGTGTTCATAAGACAACTACACCATCATTTCCTCTAAGAGAATGACAGGTGTATATGGTAATTGTTAGGATGAACAAGAAGATAGTCATGTCTCCATCAATCGTTGCTATCTTGACATTCAGGGTAACTGATGTTCTTTCTCTGAAATGCCCAAATTATACCCAAGGATACAGTTCTACCATTGTTTTCAATTTTCCTTAATGTGGTTGCCTCATTTGTTTCATCTGTAGGCTTCAAAACCATTCTGGCTTGGAAAAAGACTCCTAGTTGCTTTAGCTAACATGGCGAAGAGCAAAGTCCTTCAGCTCTTGTAAGATTGACAATGGAAAATGAAAAATACCAAGTCAGATCTAATTTTGATTGACTTGAGACTAAGACACTTGCAGGTGGAACTAGTTCTTAAAATCTTGGAAAATTGCTCTCGCCTAACCTGTTTCTCCAAACTAATAATGGAAAATTGTGCCCCAGGAGAAGATGGCTTGCTTCAGGTGTTTGCCCAAGTAGTGTCCATCCACTTCTTGGCTCTGTATGGATATTTAATGTGTTAGTGAGCACACATTCTGAAGTCTAAGTCGAAATTCTAGAACATTTAACAGTAACCTCTTAGGGATTATACAAACCCAGCAGCTCTTCCAGAGTATTAATATTTCTTATTCATTATTTAGAGTGTGAATATCATGACTAGTACACTGTTGTTATCAAACTGAGTGCATTATTTCTGTTATGAAATAAAAGGGGGAAACACCTTTTTTATTTGTTTGGTTTAATTTCTAGCTAAAAATACAAAGTTAATTTATTATTATCTATCAACTTCCACTGTTCCTTCTCTGATTGGTACCAGGATCAAAAAAAGAAAAGCAGGCCACCACAGATTACTAACTAATTTCCTTTCACACCCACCACACATATGCATTTGGGACAACAGGAAAGGATAATTAAAACAAAATCTTCTGCCACACAGTAAGTTTATTTCTAAAATAAATAAAAAACAATCTGGCATCTATACTGGGAAAATGAACTGTGCCATTGCTGCTTCCTTTAAGTAAAGAGTGTGTGTGTGTGTGTGTGTGTGTGTGTGTGTGTGTGTGTGTAAGAGAGAGAAGAAGGGAGGGAGAGTGAGAGGGGGAGGGAGGGAGGGAGAGAGAGAGAAAATACATGCCCTGTGTCTGCTTCCGTTCTGGTTGCTTTATATCTCTCTCATCTTTAAAACTGAGTTTTATTACTCATGAAAGCATAGGCCAGTTGTATTGATTAAAACCAGGGAGGGGGACCCACACACGTTTCTTCTTTAAGCTTTAGCTCTATACAGTCTTCTAGATGTGCCTTATTTCCCTGCTACACCATTAATAATCCCAGACTATTAGGATTTTCATTTGTCTTGATACTTGGTGGTGAACAAAAAAGTCCCATTTAATTGTTTCAGGAAAAACTAGGCAAATTTCAGGTTCATGGCAATATTTGGACTTTACTATCTTGTTCATAACAACAAGAACAAAAAATGTTTTCTATTCTTTATGTGAGAACTTGTTTCAGGCATTCTTTTATTCGATTTCCACAGAGGACCTTTGAATTCTCATACTACCTGCATTCCGTGTTCCATGTTCCACATGTGGGCAAGAACATTGTAGTTCCACAGCAAATCCGTTCCCTTGGTGTACAGAGGCTTCATTAAGATGACATTTAGCTTCCTATCTCTCCTCTGCTAGTCTCTGTGCTGGTCCACTGAAGCTGAGTCATGTGAAAGTTCCTGTAAGAATGTGATGGGAAAAAGAACAGTGGTTTAGTTTATTTTTTCTATGAGTGTAGGTGAAAGAGGTAAAGTTATTGCCAAAAAATAAAATATAATCTTAGATTGTGTTAAGAGAAGCATATTTTCTTTTTTTTAATTGAGATTTTAGTGAAAGTTTATAGAGAACATGGATTTCCATTCATTGATTGTTGCACATTTTCCTCCCTGCCCAACCCATCCCCCAGTTCACTTTTCTCTTTGGGGGAAAATTTTTTTTCTCATTGTACAAGTCCCTCCCCCGGCCCCCAATCCACTTTACTATGTAGCTTTTACTCTGGACTGTTGTCATACAAATAATACCTAATCATATATTCCTTTTAAGCAGTTCTTTCCCTAATCTCTTTCAATGCAGTGTACATCATTTATACCTCTTTGCTTAGTTTTCCCCCAACTCTAAGGTCAGTCCTGTTTTATAACAGTGGTATTATACAGCATTTGTCCTTTTGTGACTGAGATATTTCACTCAGCATAATGTCCTCCACGGTCACCCATTTTGGTGGAAGTGTAAAATGGTGCAATCACTATGGAAGTCAGTATGGCGCTTTCTCAAAAAGTTGCAAACAGAAATACCATTTGACCCAGCAATTCCACTATTGGAATATACCTTAAAGAAACCAGCACTGCCACCCAGGCAAATATATGCCTACCCATGTTTATTTCTCCATTGTTCACAATGGCAAAGAGATGAAAACAACCCAACTATCCATCAACAAATGAATGGATAAAGAAGCTGTGGTCTATTCACTCAATGGAATACTATGCAGCACTGAAAAACAAGGAACTCAGGAGAGGCATATTTTCTAACACATGAGATGTGAAAATTTAACATTCTCTTTATGTCTATTCTCTGTTGATTTGAAGATAGACAGAAGGTTGTGCAACATTCCCAGAATGTCAAGAAGAACTCAGATGAAACAGGCATATTCAGAAGAAATTGATTGGACTAGGAAAGGTATTGAAATCCAGCTTTCCAAGGATTAGTTGAAGGAACAAGTAGTGGCTAGGCTCGGTAAGACAGGACTCAGAGAGGATGTGAAGGCAGTGTACAAATATTTTAAAAGTTCTCTTCTTTTTGCTTGAGCTACCAACTGGCAGCATCAGGATGGATGGTGAAGAGACTGAGATTGTTAACAACTTTAGTCTGCTTGGCTCCACAGTCAACACTCTTGGCACCAGTAGCCAGGAAATCAAAAAATGTATTGAGATGGGAAAGTCTGCTGTTAGGGACCTTTCCAGGGTACTGAAGAGCAGTGCTGTCACTCTGGAGATTAAGGTGCATCTGATACAGGCCATGGTCCTTGCAATCACTTGTTATGCATCAGAGAGTTGGACAATGACTAGGGAGGATAGAAGGAGAATTGATGCCTTTGAACTGTGGTGCTGGAGAACAGTATTGAATGTACCATGTACTGCCAAGAAAACAAACAAATTCATCCTGGAGAGGGTTAAACCAGGCTGCTCCTTGGAGGCAAGGATTCTGGGGCTTCGTCTGACATACTTTGGACATGTTGTAAGGAGGGACAGGTCCTTGGAAAGGGGCATCATGCTTGGGAGGGTGGAGGGATGAAGCAAGAGAAGACCCTCTATGAGGTGAATTGATTCAGTGACTGGGGTAATTGGGATGTATGTGTCAGAGGCAGTGCGATTGGCACAGGACAGAGCAGAGTTTAGTTAGGGCTGTTGTACACAGGGTCACTCTGAGTCTCAAGCTACTCGATGGCACATAACAACAACAACAACATATGATGAGTACTCAGTATTAAACTCTAAGTATCCTCTTCAGCTTGGTTTATCTCACTGGTAGAAGGAACTAACTAAAAAAGCAGCCCCAAAATCATCACCCTTGAAGAAAGGTGTTTAAGAGGAGTTTGAACCACTTCGTGGTAGAGGCATAGGAGAAGCTGTGCTGGGTAATAATTAGGATTCTTCCTGACCAGGAGTTTATATGATAATAATAGTTTGGGAACCAGCCTTTATTTAATATCAACTTTCCAATACGAAAGGTTGTTTCATTGTAGTTGTGGTGAGGTATTATGGACAGTTACTCATCAAGAAGACTTGGACTGTCAGTTATTTGCACAGAGAAGCATCAAGTACGCTGTGGTTTGGCCACTGATGGCTCAGCTGTCTGAAATCAAACCCAAATTACTTCTAGGCTCTGCTTATGCTAACCTTCCATTTAGTAGTTAACGTGCAGCTGCAAATGATTTTTGCAGACCATTTATAATTCCACGGAGTGGGATCATCTACAGCAGTTATGGACAGAAGGTTACGGCATCTTCCTTACGATTCCTAGGCTATTAAACAGTGAACTTTCTTAAAGCTCTGGACAAATGTAATTTGTACCAATGTAATTTGTAGTAGCTTTCATAAATATTGCAAAGGATATTTTGAAAAGAAATCTATTCTTAACCCTAAATTTGGTAATAATGTGCAATCTAATTTCTCTAATTAGGTTCATTGTGCCAATTTCTTCAGCTAGTAAAAAGTAGCTCAAAGTAGAGAGGATAATGGAATATTAACCACTTTTTAAAATAAAGAATGCTAGCAAATGTTTGGTATTGTAATCATGATGTGTTGCACTCCAAATTTGGTAATACTTCTTGCCTAGTTCTCTCTTTTTGAAGGCCTTTTTAATGTTTTCAGTCACTAATATTGAGTTTAGAAGCCAAACTATGTGGTGGCAACTCGCATGCACCTCTCAGAGCTGCTTCTGCCCATCAGACCTCATTTGCTTAACAAGTGTTAATGCTCTGCCTCTAACTGAGCAAGATGAAGTGCGGTAAATATTTCATCTACTGGCTTTTGCTTCTAGAAGTTTAAAAAGGTATCCGGTTCAAACCAAAAGTGACAATGACTTTGAGGCTTATGTTATTGTCAAGTAATATGTTTGGTATTCCAGTATAAACATTTCTTCTTGAATCTGTGTCTGATCCTGCATGTTTATATTTTGACAGCATCCTGTGTACTGTGTAAATGTTGTTGGGACCCAGAATGCTCATAACCTCATCACTGTCTCTACTGATGGTAAAATGTGTTCCTGGAGCCTGGACATGCTCTCAACTCCACAGGTGGGTTTGTTTTCCTCATACACATGAGCGCATCCTGGTTAAAAGATATACCTGTCTAATGGAACGTAGTTCCTAAAAGCCAAACCCTCACATCCTATGTGAGCTAAAACCAATGGATGCACTTGAAAGAGTGAGGCCTGCTTTCAACAGACTCCACTTGGAGCCAAAACCCATTTCCTTTACCACAAATCATGTAATTATTATAATACGTTAATACTTAGGTCAGTTTCAAGTGAAAATGAAATAATCCATTTTAAAGCATAGTAATTATGGAAGTTGCCTGTGGTATGAATAGTACTCACCCTACTGCATTGTTAAATACAAATGAGGTTGGAACTCAGCAGAGCAATCCTTTATAGGCACTTGCCTTGGAAAAGGTATCCTAGCAAAACAGAAAGCCAAGCCCTTGCTTGTTTGTATCCATAGCCTAGACAACAGACAGTGTATATGATAAGCTCTGTTTTCTCCTCTGGAATGTTTGTTAATATGAATCTTGCCGTTCTTTGCTGGGCAAATGAGAATTTCAAAATGAAAAGTTTCTAAGTTTCCAAACCCTAATGATTACAGTAACAGAAACTGAACGAGGGAGCAGAAGTGGGGAACGCTTGGGAGAAGCATCTTAAGCACACCATCAGAAAATGAGACGCGTACCTATGCACATAACCACATGCATACATACACACTCCTCCACATTTGTATGGGGGGTAATAAAAATATTTCACTATCGTCCAGCTAAAAAGCACACTTTTTTGTCATAGCTTCTGACAAAAATGTGAGGAAACTTCAAGAGAACTATGAAGAAAGATCTAGGATAAAATTTGCAGTGTCACATTTCTATTCCTTTTCCTGGATTAATGTCACTAAAATGTCTCTCCTATGATTTTAGGAGACATTAAAGCTTCAGAATACATAAGGTAATATGAAAACTATTTTTAAAAAGGCTTCTAAAACATTTCAAGTAGAAAAAAAGGAGCATTAGCTAATAAGTTCCTTATAATTTAAGTTCTTCTGTTTTGTTTGAAAATAATACTGTGTTTTTAAATAAGGTTCTCGCAACAGAAAGTTTCAGTTCAGCAGTTTCTACCCTAAATTTTCAATACCAGTAGTTAGCATTTTTTTGTTAGCATTTCTTATAATGCCCATAAATTATTATTAGGTGAAATGGGGTTGGTTGTGACCCAATGTATGAAAGAAGCTGTTAGCGCCCATTTTGGGAGTCAATGTATCAAACCATCTCCTTCACTATGTTAATGCACCACCTCGAGGATCTTTTTTTTTTTTTATTCCCCTGGCCCTCTGCCAATCCTAAGTCTTTCTCCAGGCACTGATCCTTCCCAACAACATGACCAAATCATGTGAGACAAAATCTCACCATCCTCACTTCTAAATAACTGAATGTACATCTTCCAAGATAGACTTGCTCATTGCTCTCAAAGTCCATGACATACTCAATATTCTTTGACAATAATATAACTCAAATATTCTTCATTGGTCCTTTCTGCTGTGGTCTTCCTTCTGCACTCTCCAATTTTCACATGCATACGAGGTGATTGAAAATACCAGCGGCTTGTATCAGGTGTATTTCAGTCCTAAAGGTGACACCTTGGTTTTTAAATAATTTAAAAGACCTTTTTTTGGTAGCAGATTTGCATAGAACAATCCAGCATTTGGTTTCTTTGCTGCTACCTCAGGAATTGATTGATTATAGAGACAAGTAAAATTAAATCTTTGACACCATCAATAAATTTTTCACTTATCTTAATGTTGCTTATTGGTCTATTTGTACTAAATATTGTTTTCTTTATCTTGAGGTATAATCCATACAGAAAGTTGTAGTCTTTTCATCAAGTGAGGTTTTGTCATCAAAGTAATGAGTCTTCTTCCTCCAGCTCTGATGCCATACTCTTTATTTAGTTCAGCTTCTTTCATTATTTGTTCAACGTACAGATCAAATAGGTGTGGTGAAGGGATGCAACATGATGTTGTATCTTCTTGGTCTATTACAGATTCAGCATGAACATAAGGAATTTCCCTTTTTTGCAATGTTACCCATTATTGGTTATGATCCACAGAGTTGAATGCCTTAGCATAGTCAGTCAAACATAAATAAACTTTTTTTTTTGTTCTCTGCTTTCAACCAACATCCATCTGACATCAGTAATGATATTCTTCATTCCATACCCTCTTCAGAATCTGGCTTGAATTTCTGGCAGTTGCCGGTTGGCATGCTGCTGCAATCATTTCTGAATTATCTTCAGCAAGACTTTACTTGGATGTGACAATCAGATCCACACACTCTTGGGTCACATTTCTTTTGAATGGGCATAAATATGAATCTCTTCTAGCCAATTGGCTCGATAGCTGGGGTTTATTGGTGAGGGGTTATTTAAAAAAGAAAAAAATCAGCAATACATAAACCAGTGAGTGCTTCCAGAATTGCATCTATTTGTTGACACTTTTTATTTGGTAATAATCTAGTTTTTCGCTATTGCTTTAGACATTTTCCTTCAATACTGTTAGTTCTTGAGCATATGTTACCTCCTAAAAGGCTGAATGAACATCAACACATTTTTTCCAGTACCGCCACTCTTTGTATCACTTTCATCTTTCATCTCATTTTGATGATTCCTGTACTGAACAGTGTCTTACCCATGGAACCCTTTGCAATTGCAACTAAAGGTATGGAATTTTTCCTTCACTTCTTTTAGTTTGATAAATGCTGAACAAATCATTCCACTACTTCGCTTTGTTTACTTTATTTGCTCTTTGAAGTCTGTTCTTTTACTTTATCATCTTCCATTTATTTTTTATTATTAATTTTAATGAAAATTTACAGACTTTGGATTTCCATTCATTCATTGTTGCACTCTCCCTGCCTACCCCTCCCTGCCTCAGTACACTCTTCTCTTTGAAAAGTAAAAGAAAAATTCTTTCATTGTTTTACAATCCCTCCCCCCATATCCACTCCACTATGCAGCCTTCGTCCTGAACTCCTGTCATGACAATAATACCTAAACACATAGCCCTTTTAAACAGTTTTCTCCCTCATCTGTTCAATGCATTATTGAACCCATCTTTCTCAGTCTCCCCCCAACCCCGATGTCAGTCCTGTTTTGCAATAGTGGCACTATGCTTTATTTGTCCTTTTGTGACTGAGATATTTAACTCAGCATAATGTCCTCCAGGGTCACCCATTTTGAATAATATTGCATGAGTTCCTGGTTTTTCAGTGCAGTGTTGTATTCCATTGTGTGAATATACCACAGCTTCTCTATCCCTTTGTTTGTTTATGGACACTTAGGTTGTTTCCAACTCTTTGCTATTGTGAACAAAGCCGAGATAAACATGGGTGTGCATATATCTGCCTGAATGTCAGTTATGGTCTCTTTGGATATATTCCTAGTAGTGGAATTGCTGGGTCAAATTATATCTCTATTTACAACTTTTTGAGAAACGCCACACCACCTTCCACAGCAGTTGCACCATTTTATACTTCCACCAACAGTGAATAAGGGTTCCGATTTCTCTACAACCTCACCAGCATTTGTTGTTTGCTGTTCTGTTAAATTTCACTATTCTTACTAGGGTGAGACGATATCTCATAGTTGTTTTGTCTTCCATTTATTTTTAACTACTCTACATTCAGGAATAAGTTTTAGAGTCTTTTTTGAAATGCATTTTGACCTTTTCTTTCTTTCTTTCCTGTCTTGTTAATGGTGCTTTCTTTATGGATTATAACCTTGAGATCCTTTTACAGCTCCTCTGTTTTCAGGTCATTACATCAAATCTATTCTTGAGATTTCTCTAAATTCAGGTGACCTGTACTCAAAGTTTTGCTTTGGCTCTCATGGCCTTGTTTTATTTTCTTCAGCTTCAACTTGAACTTGCATGTGAGCAATTAATGCTGTCTTCCACAATTGTCCTCTGGTGTTGAGCTTCTCCTTGGTCTCATTCCAGACATGCAGTTGAATTTACTCCTGCATATTCCATCTGGCTAAGCCCCTGTGTACACCCTCCACTTCGATTGATCTGGGAAGAAAAAGCACATGCCACAAATAAGTAATCAGTCTGAAAAAAATTCTCCCCTGTGATTTCCATGTGACTTCTCTTCTGTCCTGCAGTCTCAGTGTTGTGTCTTCTTTGCTTACAACGTTCACTCATCAGTAATTGTCAATCTGTGTTGATTACATACTTGACCAATTTCAAATTACAGAAGTTGCTAAAAATATTTAATTTCTTCATCTTTGACATTCGTGGTTGGTGCACAAATTTGAATAATAGTCATATTAATTAGTCATATGTATATTATCCTATCATTGATAACATTATAATTTAAGATAAATCTTGAAATGCTCCTTTTGACTATGAATGTGACATTATTCCTCTTCAATTTGGTCATTCTTACCATGGTAGACTATATGGATGACTGATTCAAAATACCACTCTGTTTCAGATCACTAACGTCTCAGTTATTTATGTATTCTGTTTCCTTTTTTAAGACATCCATTTCTTTCTACATTCATGCTTCATATATTCCACATTCTAGTTACTAATGGGTATCTAAGCTACTTCTCATTTTGAGTGCTACCAAATCTGCTAATGGAGGTCTCAAAAATTTTACTTGCTCTTACTTGCTCTGCATCATTGAGATTGACTACTTTAAGGAGCTTCTCTTCCCTCACAGTGTTCTCAGTGTCTTCAGCCCTGAGAGGTGCATCTTCTGGCATTTTATCAAGGTGTTCTGCAGCTATTTATGCCAGGTTGCATTTTGCTCTGTCTGTTAGTATTAGATTGACAAGTCCTTATTCCTATTCTTGGTCTGGAGGCCCCACTAGAAACTGTCAATCATGGGTGACTCTGCTGATATTTGGAAAATCAGCAGCATAGTTTCCATTTACACAGCAATATGCAAGCCACCACAATTGTGAATACAGTGTTTTCATTATTTCTATTCTGATAACTCCATTTAGTTTCTTCTGGTTTTCCTGATCTTTAATATGATGCAAGTCTAGAGTTGTGAGTGAATATTTTATAACCTTGTCTTAAAGTCTTAGCAATATGTTGTTTCCTTTCAAAGGCATGGAGATGATAGAAAGACATGAGAGAAACTCCTCTGGTTAATAATGTTTAATTGCCACATTTTGGTGTTTAAACCTGTATTTGTTTAGGTTAAACAATTTTCACAGAGTTATAAGGACATTTTTATTCCTTTTTTTCCACATGCACAGATGCCTGTCTCTAAACAGATTGAGAATTTCATGGCATAGCTTCTGTGAATGACAAGAATGGGAGCCCCTAGCTGTTGCCCTGGTCCATCCCTCTTCCAAGTAGGCAACCAAGAGACTTTCCTGCCTGGAGGAAAAGAGTCAAATTCTTAAGAGTTTAAAAGCAGACACTTAAACAAATATCTAGACACCAGTCTCCAAATATTGTAGCTCTGTTCACAATAGCCCAGATGTGGAAGCACCAATGTCCACCACCAAGTGAATGGATCAACACAATGCAGCACATACAGTAAATGGAATTTTATTCAGCCTTGAAGAGAAAGGAAGTCTTGGTACCTGCAACAACATACATGAATCTTGAAAGCATTATACTGAGTAAAATTTCAAATGCACAAAAAGCTTATTTTAAGATCTCATTTACACGAAATATCCAGGATAGGCAGGTTCAAAGACAGAAGTAGGTATATTATTGGTGGTTACTCACATATTTTGAGAATGTTGTTAAAGGACATCATGCTCAGAAAGGTGGAGGCTCGGTGAAAGAGAGGAAGACCTTCTATGGGATGGATTGTCACAGTGACTATAACAATGAGTTCAAGTATATCAGAAATGATGAGGACTGCACAGTGTAGGCGAAGCTCAGATCTACTGTTCATCAGGGAGCCATTGAATTGTCATGTTGGCAAAGAATATTGAGTATACTATTGCCTGCCAAAGGACAAATCTATGTTGAAAGAAGGTCAGTCACAATTATTCTTAGTAGCAAAGATAGTAAGATTTTATGTCCTATACTCAGGGCATGTTATCAGGAGAGATCAGTTCCTAGAGAAAGAAATTATACTTGATAAAGTTGAAGGTCAGCAAAAAAGAAAAAGATTCTCAGCAAGATGGATGGCACAGTGGTAGCAACAATGAGTGTACTGCAACAGAAAGTGTGAAGATGGTGCCCATTTGGTCAGTGTTTTCTTCTTTTGTACATAAAGTCCCCATGACTTTGATCCACAACAGAGGCTTAGAGAAAGGGGAGTTATTGCTGAAGAGCATACTATTTCTGCTTGAAGTAATAAAGAACTTTTGGAAATAGTGTAGTTGGTTGTATAACATAGTGAATATAATTAATGTCAGTGACTTGCATGCTTAAGAATTATCGACATGGAAAACTTATTGTTATTATATATATAAAACTACAGAAAAATTTTAAAGTTTACCTTCTTGCTGCTAATTTTATTGATGTAGCAAAGAACTACAGGATCCAGTTTCTATATTATAACAATTTTTATAGCAATCCTTCCTTTAAACCAGACATTGATGTGGAAGTCTCATCTACTGCCAGCATGGACCATGTGTTCTGTGCTACAGAAACTATAATTAATAGTATGAACTTTCAATTTATAGATTCTTTATCTAGATGACCGATTTGTCTGTTTGTTCCAGGAAAATTGAACCCCCATTGTACTGAAATGATAACACAGAATGACTTTTTAAAAATAATTTAAAATGCATGTCGATTTTTATGAAAGTACCTAGAAATGATCAAGGATACTCACTCATACGTTACGTACTGTACGGTCCCACTTAAAGCTGGCCCTCTGTAAATTTCACGGGAGGAGATTGCCCATCTTTCTCCTTCACAGCCTCTGGTGGATTAGCAAAGCAACTCCCTACAGACTACAGCACCAGAGGTTACTGTTGTTGTTGCTGTGTGCCATATAGTTGGGCCAACTCATAGCTGACCCACCAGGGGACTTTCAGAGGCAGTAAATGGTATGAGTTGATTGCCCATCTTTCTCCTGTGGAGCAGCTGGAGGATTTGAACCTCATGGCTTTGCGTTGACAGAACAATTCCTTACCAGTAGGCCACAAGAGCTCTCTGCCAGAGCGTTGTTGTTGTTGTTAGGTGACATCAAGTCCAGTGTGACTCATAACAACCCTATGAACTATTGATCTGAACACTGTCATATATTCATATATTGTGCCAAAAAAACTACAGCTTTAAGAAAGGTTTAAATTCTCTTTACTGCTCTAAACTAACACAGCAATATCTTTTGAAATACACCTGAATTCTCAGCTTAAAAAAAAATAACTTCATAGTAAATAGTTTCATTTATTATTTTAAAACTTGTTTACACACAGTTCTTCGTAGGTTCCTAGGCTGAGCTCCCAATGACTGCCTTTGGTGAGGTCTATTCCCTGTTAAAATCTGGTTTCTATGGCCAGAGGGGCAACTTTTCTGGTTTGTGTTCGTGGAGGAAACACACTACTGCTTTGACAAATGAGCTTAGTACATCTGATATTAATACACGTGTATTCTCATGAACAATTGATTTTGAAAATGTTTGTAAATACAAGGGTATTGTGTGTTTTATTAAAGCCTGGGGCTGACAAGTGTAACCATTACAGCATTATCTTTCGTTTCTGCACCATTAGTTTCAAAATTCTCACCTGTCAGCTGGGCCTGACTTACGAAGCAACAGCACAGGCTGATGAAATCCAGCCGGCCTGAAACCAGAGATACACAGAAGCCCAAGTGTCAGGGCAGTAAAGCGTGGTTTCTGGCACAGCCGGGGTCTTTTGTAACGCTGTGTGAAAAGCAAACAGACGATTTAGCCAAATGATTTTTCCATGCTATCTTTGGCATGGCAAGGAGTTGACAGATGGAAATGTAACCATGCCGTGTTTTGGTAGGAGAGCATGGAGTTGGTGTACAATAAGTCCAAGCCTGTGGCTGTTACCGTAATGGCTTTCCCGACAGGAGACGTCAATAACTTCGTGGTCGGCAGTGAGGAGGGTACAGTCTACACAGCTTGTCGACATGGAAGGTAATTTTCTGTTTTCTTACCAATGACATGTTTCTCATTTCTGAAAGTCTGTTATCGCATTCTGAATTATAACCACCTTTCCTTCTCAGAATGGCACAAAACCCAGCTCGAGGTTGCATTATCTTCAAATGTACAACTCTGCCCTGGTCAATCGTTTGTTTGTTTCTTTCTTTCTTTCTAGTTACCGTTGACTCATAGCAACCCATGTATGTCCACAGGGTGAAACTGTGCTGCACAGAAATTTCAGTGGCTGATTTTTCATAAGTAGATCGCCAAGCCTTTTCTCCAAGGCACCTCTAGGAACTTAAACCTCTCTTAACAACCAAGCCAATTCACCATTGGTGCTATCCAGGGGAGACCTCCCATAATTTCCTATTTGTAAATGTTAGTTGGTTCTCAGGGCCTTGAGGGAAACAGTCCAATTTTCTTTGCATTTGCTACGTGCTGCTGACCCTCTGGCCCTTCCCACCTTCGTCCCCTCCACGTGCCTACAGATTATAGCCCTCAGGTATTACAACCCCCAAGCATTACTTGTCCCACCTTACCTCTAGGCCCTGTACACTCAGTTTCTTCTGTCACAACTGCTTTTTCTCTCTTCTTGATTAATTGCTGCTCATCCTTCATGAGTTGACCCAGAGGTAGTTCTGCTTTGATGCCTTTCCTGATACACTTGAAGAAGGGGAAATAAAATCCACAAAACTTTTTTTGTTGCATAGAATGTTCATTCCTTTTATTATTCAAGGAATATTTATTAAGAATCTCTTATGTGCTAGATGCCATCCTAAAGATAAAGGCATGAAGGTCACAGTCTAGTTGAAGGTGAATGAAATACAAATAAGTAAATGTATAGTTCAAGGTGATACATGTTATGGAGAAACGTAAAGTACCATAGAGAAGATAGGATTATAAGCTGTCATCTGAGTGTGCTCTTTATGAATTTTTAATACATATTTCTATAATAGTATTGTTGGTTTTGTGTACCACTGAATCAGAATCAATTCATAGCTGACCCTCCAGTGGGTTTTCAGAGGCAGGTAATTTCACAGAGGAGATTGCCTGTCTTTCTCCCTTGGAGCGTGCTGGTGGATTTGAACCCTGTTGCTTTCAGGATTGCAACACAGCTTCTTACCACTAGGCCACCAGAACTTTTTTGTAATTTATTTCAATTATTCATTTATCTGCCTTTTTTTCTCAAACTATATTTGTTTTGTCTTTTTTCCCTCTTAAGTCCCTTGCATTTAATAAATGAGGAGAAAAAAATTAAGTGAGGAATAAAGAAAGTACTGTATTTGAGTAATAGCAATAAGTGCCTTCAGATCCCTCTTCCTAATCATGTGAGTGAGACATGCTGAGGGACACCTGTGGTGTGGTCCATAGAGAGGTGGGCTGGTAAACCAAAAGCTCTTGAGGTTTTAGTCCACCAGTTGCTCTGCAGGAGAAATATCGACAGTCTCCTCCTGTGCCATTTAAATCATTTGAAAAGTCCATGAAGGGTCAGCTATGGGGTGGTTCTGACTCGGTGACAATGGGAATTGAGTGTTTCGAGACACACTAGCCACCATGAAGTTTTTTAAGTGATAAGAAGTCTGCTGTGACTGAGAGATTGGCAAATGACCCCAGAAAACAGAGCCCACAGGATAAGTTGGATCAAATTATTTGTATAAGAAAATATTATATACAAAATCAACAGATTGCTGAAAACTTCTAATGTTCCTGCTTTCAAGGTTTTGCCTTGTTCATATGACTGAAAATGATTGATGAACAAGATATATCTCACAACCCCAAGGCCAACACCGCTAACTTGATAAGATATGGTTAAATGCACACATTAAAGTTTTATCAAACATAAAAAAAAATCTGATAAAGTTATCCATCCGTTCACCCAACATTTGCTGCATACTTACTTTGAGGAAAGCACATTACTAGTGCATTGAGGCATGCAGGCATTATTCAGGGATGACTGCTGTCATCAAGAAGTTGTTGATGGAGAGATAGGTAAATGCACAAATACCTGCAGTACAAGGCAGAATGCTCTCATTGGCACAAGAGGTTCAGTAACTGTAGTGCACTAAACATGAATGCACAGATTTGCTTCTTCATAGGGCATAGATTTAGGTAACTTAATCAAGGGTATCACCTAGGATCTTAATTTACCTCTAAAGACTTTAAAGCAGGTTTATTTCTTTCTCTCTTATTTTTTCCATTTTCTATCCTATGAATGTGTATCTTACGTACAATGTATCTCTCTTGCGCTTTACCACAGCTGTCAGAGCACACACTTTTGGTTCAAAAGAGCATGTATGGCAAAACCGACAAATCTAATCACAGCAAACTTAATGTTCATCTTTGCATTCGTTCATTCCTCTGAAATATAAAATACACATCTTCCTAGAGCTGTAAAGTAGCAGAGACATGGCTTTGTAGTTCTTTTAAATGGATGATATGAGGCTGCAGGACAGAGAAGTTTCTTCTTTTCACCTAACATGGAGAAGGTGCAAATCCACTTCCATAAATTAAATAGTGTCCTCATTTTGCACCCTATAAACCCTCTCAGGATGCTGTTAAGAGAAAATAGGATCTCACCAGACCACTTCAAAGATCAATTCCTGATGTTCATTAGAAGAAATGAAAATGATCTCATGCACAACTGCTGTTAGCAGTGTGCCTGGGCATAATTTTGAGCGCCTGTTACACAGGATACACGCTCCAACACTTTGCTCAGGATTTCAGATTTTGCTCAGCTCACTGACATTTATTGGTGCTCTAGAAGCCTAGATGCTTTAATGACTTAATTCATTTTATAGTCATAATGACAAAATATTTAGATTTTATAATCCCTATATGTTTGTCATATTTATAACCTCATGTTCATGAACTCTTAAAATATAGTATTTTGGTTATATTTTCTAAGTGTTTTCTAATTGCATCTGATTGCATGCAGGCTGTTATGTGATAATAGAGAGCTGGAAGTAATCCCAGCTTGGTTAAATAAGTTAATGATGCCTGTGGATAGTCTTTGAAATGTGTGTCATTCTCTCTCAAATGTGCTTTTAAAAAACCAAACATAAGTTTTTCTGATCTTTTGCTATTTAGCTGAATGCATATTTATTATTGGTTATGTGATCTGCAAACATTTGGCCACCAAGACAAGATATCTGCATTCATGGAATTTATACTAAATGGCTTCTTCCCACATTATACTTAAGTATATTAATATTGTTGTTGTTGATTGCTTTCAAATCAAGCATGACTCATAACTACCCTATGAACAGAAGGCTTGAAGCCCCTCTGCAACTATTGACATTTATCAAAGTTCATAGTTTCTGGAGGCATGTTGCTTAGGAAGAGGATGCCACTCCTGCTTCCAAACCTGTCATAGTATGTTATTGTTTTTATATGCCATTGAGTCGCTTGTGATGTATAGTGACCCTATGTAGAGCTGCTCTGAACCCTTCCTTGTCCTGAGCCAGTCTCACTAACTCCAACACACCAACCCCTATTACCCCAGTTACTGTATCAATCCATCTCACCCAGGGTCTCCCTCTTCCCATCCACCCTTCCAAGCATGATGTCCTTCTCCCAAGACTGTTCTCTCCTGGCCATGTGCCCAAACTATTAATATTGTAGGGACAAAGATTTCCATAAAGTATCATATTTCTATGTATGTCAACATACTGTAAAAGATTTTTTTTTAAAGGTAAGTGATTATACAAAATGGGTGGCCCTGGAGAACATTATGCTGAGTCGTAAAAGGATAAATACTACATAGTGCCACTGTTGTAAAGCAGGTCTGATATTGAGGCTGAAGGGAACCTAAGAAAAGAGGGGATAGATAATGTATATTGCATTGAAACAGATGAGGAAGAGAACTGTTTAAAAGGACTATAAGATTAGGTATTATTTTCATGACAAGTTACAGAAAAAGAAATGTATAGTAAAGTGGACTGTGGACTTGGGAGGGGATTGTATCACAAATGAAAGAATTTTTTTTCAAAGGTAAAAATGAACTTGGAGGGGGAGGAGTGGGCAAGGAGGAAAATATTCAACAATGAATAAATGGGGAAAAATGAAATTGAAAGAATATGCTGTGAAAAATTTATATGTTGCATTAAAAATCATTAATAATAAAAAAGAAAAAAGGTAAATGAACAATCCTTTAAGAAGATAGTCTTAAAATGGAATGCATGTAAAATGTCCTCACAAGAGTACAAAAATCTTTTTTTAATCAATGAGAAACTTGAGATCTAAATATGTTTTCTATCAAAATAACTGGATCAGCCCTGGAAGGATTTGAGGATGTCCTAAGAAAAGGATAAAATAATAGAATTTGGCATTAAGTTCCAAAGATGAAAAAGATTATGTTGTCCTTTTATTTCCCTTTTTGCTACCCAAAAGGAAGCATTTCAAAGCCACCAGCTACTCCACAGGAAATAGATGGACAACGTAGATGGACAATCTTCTCCCACACAAATTTCAGCCTCTGGAACTCACTACAGTGTTAATTATGTGTCAGTTTCAACTCATTGGCAATGAATTGCATGTATTGAGTTTCCTACTTATAAACTAAATTTTTTTTAATCAGTCATTCAGAGTATCCCAGCACGTTTGCAAATACTTTCTTTCACCCAACAACAACAACAACAACAACAACAACAACTATGTATTTTTGGTCATGTTGATTCTTGTAAATGATAGAAAAGTAATCATGCAGGGAGGAGGGTTTTTTTTAAGTTATTGTTTTACAAAGGTCATTAATATTCTGTCCACACATAATTTTCATGCAGCAAAGCAGGTATTGGTGAAATCTTCGAGGGTCATCAAGGACCAGTGACAGGAATTAACTGCCACATGGCAGTGGGCCCAATTGACTTTTCACATCTGTTTGTCACATCGTCATTTGACTGGACCGTCAAACTGTGGACCACAAAGGTAAGAACGCCTTTGACTGAAAATCTAAAGGAGGAAGATGTTTTTCCTTCCTTGGAATTGTGTGGAGGGCCAAGGGGGTTGTCTGTAAGCAGTAGCTATGCTTGAATTCTTTCAGGTGACTTAGTACTGGAAATTCACACAACCTCCTGATGATTCTGATCCGTTCCAGAGCGAGTTAGTTTTACTTAGCTTTTCTAAAAAATATATTAAATAATGAATAGTTGAAAACGCTCTGACGAAACATTGAAGAGATTCAAATAATGGTAAAGTAGATGACCCCCTTTATCAGTCTTCCTCCAGAAGTGATTTCTGCTATCATTTTAGTATCACTCTTGCACAGCTTTGTATGATTTGCCCACTTGCATGTGGGCATATGGGAATAGATGTTTTTGAAGATTTATACTGATAAGCAGCACTATAATATTTATCTTTTTTAAAGGCCATTTTGAACATGATAAATATAATAAATGTCACTAGATTGTATGTGTTTTGGAGGGGGAAAGATTGAAATGGCAAACGGTGTCTGATGTGTATTCATGCCACAATCAAATAAAGTAGGCACAAGGTCATTCTGATCTTGGTTGGGAGTTTTGTCCAAAAACGACCACTTAGACTGAAGACACAGGAATCCAAAGGAGAAATGATAGTGGCTTCGACCAGTAGTCATTCAGGATAGAGAAATAGGTACATGTGACAACTATATAAGAGGTAAAAGCTATATAAACTGACAATAGATTTTAAACAAGAGAGTTGAGAGAGGGAGTCAGAGGAGAGAACCTGGTTTCTCACTGGCACAGTTGATGATGTGTGGTAGCTTTCGTGATAGAGAACACGAGAGGAGAGGATTAACTAGGAAGAAGCTTTGCAAGTACTACTGTCAACTGGCCTCTGGAACACAAAAGTGCTCTAGTGATGCACTAAGTACTCAGCAGCTACCAAAAATGTGATTAATTCAAACCGAGCAACTGTTCTACAAGAGAAAAATACCATAGTCTGCTCCTATAAAGACTCTTGTGTTGTTGTATACCGTAGAGTCGGACCAACCCATAGCTGGCCCTCCACGCACGGGAGGAGACTGCCCATCCTCCTCCCGCCTACAGCCTTAGAAACCCTACTGGGTCGGTAGGATCAGCTTGACAGCCATGAGTTTTGGTGGAGCACAATTCAGGATTAGGCAATTAGACACATGGATTAGAAATGCAAGGGAGAGCTCTGAGCCAGAGATAGGTATTTCATAGTGGTCCAACCAACTAGTAGTAATAATTAAAAACTATGCTGAGACAAAGGAGTGTATTCTAAAAGAAAATCTAAGACAAAAGCCAAAGGAAGAGGAGTATTTAGAATATAAACAAGGTAAATGTGACTTTGTAAAGGAATATCTAGAGAAGTAGGAGAAAAACAAAATTTGGTATGTGTTGTGTCATGGGCATCGATGAGACAGGGTGTTAAGAGGATAGAAATGTAATTTAACTTTTCATATAGTTAACTTTTAACTATGAAAGGACACGCAACTTTACTTGCTGATAAAAATGAAATTAAATTAAGAAACCTATTTTCAGTTATTAGATTGGTAAAAATCCAAATGTTTGGCAGCATGTTCTATATGAAAGCTGAGAAATACCAGCCCTTCTCCTACATTATTGGCAGAAATGCAAAATGGTACTACACTATGAAGGAGAACTGGAAATATCTACAAAGTATACATGTGTATCCCCACCAGGAGTAACCTATGCCCGAAACACATCAGTAAAAATGAGAAAATTTGCTCAAGGGGTACTGAGTTTCTATCTAGAGTGGGTAAAATTTATAGGAATAGTGGTATGGCAGCCCAACATGATGAAATGTGTTACTATCATTGAATTATATACACCTAAAATGGTTACAGTGGCAAATTGTATATATTTCACCACAGTAAAATTCAATTTTTAAAGTTAAAATGATAGAAAATGGAAGCATAATGATAGTAATTCTGAGAACATTTGAATAGGAAAAGACTGGAAACATCCAATAGTCCATCAGTAGGATGTTGTTGTTGTTGTACTGAATAAATACAATGGAACAGCTACTGATATTAGTCAGATGTTGAAAGAAATTAAAAAGATTTCAACTTACTATTGTGTAGTAAATTCTAGGGTATATTTTCTAAAGAGAAAAATAAGGTACAGAAAAATATAAATAGTATACTGCCAATTCTTCAGAATTATGCATGTATACTGTTTTCAGTTGCTTCATAAACACGTGAAAGTTGGACAGAAAATGAATAAAGAAAGATTTTTAAATGAATGCCTTTGAGTTGTGGTGTTGGTGAAAATTGTTGAATGTACTAGGAACTGTCAAAGAACAAACCAATCTCTTGGCAGAAGATCAGCCAGAGTATCCATTAGAAGCAAGGATGGTGGGACTTCATCTCACATACTTTGGGCATGTCATCGGGAGGGGGCCAGTCCCTGGAGGAGGATATCACACCAGGAAAAGTTGAGGGAAGAGAAAGGCCCTCATTAAAATGATTGACCGGGGATGGTTTAAGCACAACCGAGATTGTGAGGAGGTGCGCGATGAAGCAGGCTTTCATCCTATTGTATCTAGGCAGCTGTGAGTCAGAGTCCCCCTTGATAGCACCTAACAACAGTAACCATATGTTTTAAAGGTAGATGAATGGAACTAAACCCACAGACAAAGGTTATGTCTAGGGAAGAATGAGGCTAAAAACACCGAGTTAAAAGCTAGGCTTAACTTGAATATACTTTGCACATCTTATTTTGGAGATATATATATATATATCAAAACAAATAAATAAGAAAGCATACATAAAGACTTTAACATGAGTCTTACTCTCATGACAAAATTCTGTTAGTAAAAAATGATGACAATGACAAAAAAAATCTTTAGACAAATTTTAATACACTTATTGCCAGTACCCTATTGTTACTATTATTCTGAGACTTGTATCTGCACATAAATCAAAATCAAATTACTAGTTATTTGGGTGTCATTAATAATGAGAATATGAACTTCATTGAGAGGACAGTCAGATGTGAGAAGTAAACTAAAAATACTGAAGCAATTTTAAATTTGAATTTTAAAAAAAGCTCATAACGTGCTCTATTTTTACATTTAAAAGAATACTTATTCATAGCTCTATCTACCAAAATACTGCAATCAATAATCAATCCAATAACAATAACACTCCTAGTATCCAGTTTAGAATGCCAGTTACTCAGAAGGAAACCAAGGATCCTAGATAAATAAATGATTACAGATCTGATAAGAACGACACAAAATGGGTGTTGGGCATCTCCTGAGAGAAAACAAGGAAGCTACCAAGCACTAAGAGGTTCTAGTAAAAAAATTCAGAAACCCACCTGAATAAGCTGCTGTTGGCCAAACACTATCATTCTTTGTCATCACTGGGTACCATTAAGTCACAACTTAAAGGTACCATATGTACAGAAGAATGGCATGCTACCAAGTCTTACATCATCTCCACAATCATTCCTATGTTTGAGCCCATAGTTGCAGCCACTGGGTCAATCTATTTGTGGAGAGCCTTGGCTGGTCCCTCCTAATACGATACCCAAAGTAAGAAAGATGAAGTTTTGTCATTCCTACTTCTAAAGAGCATTCTAGATTTGTTCATTCTTTTGGCAGTGCACAATACATTTAGTTCTCTCCATCAACACCATCATTCAAATCTGTCAGTTCTTCTTTGCACACAAGAAAATGATTCTTTGTGCAGCTTGTACATGCATACACAGATAGTTAAAATGTCCTGTCTTCGATTAGATATGCCTTAGACCTCAAGGTCTCTTTTGCAGCAGATTCATCCAATGCAATGCATCATTTTCTTTCTTATCTCTGCTTTGATGGACATTGATTGTGGCTCTTTGCCAACTTCAGTATTTTCTTCAAGCCTTATGATTTTGCTTCTTAAGCCAATTGTAGGAATTTAGTTTTATATTGAAATATTATATAGGTGGTTGTTGTTGTGTACTGTTGAGTCGGACCCAGCCAATAGCTGACCGTCCGGCGGGTTTTCAGAGGCTCTTAATCGCACAGGAGAAGATTGCCCATCCGTCTCCCTCAGAGCAGCTCATGGCCTCAAACTGTCCACCTTTGGGATTGCAGCACAGCTTCTTGCCACCAGACCACCAGAGTTCCCTATTATACACATTGTAGACTTTTATAAAGCAAAATCATGCCATGTACATATCACAACTAATGCTACCACCAGTCCTGATTCTTTGTTCTTCATATAGTCCAGCTTCTCAGACTATTTCCTCAAAATTCAAATTTAATACATACAGTTAAATGATACAATCCTTTTCTTACCCATGTTCTGTCCTAACAGCTTCCTCTTGGTTTATGCAAAGTTTCTACATAAACACAATTTACTGTTCTATAGTTGCCATTCATGCAACATAATCCATAATCTATTAGGTTATCAGTAAGTATAATAAAGTCATTGATTCTCCATGGGAGATAGATGGGCAATCTCTTCCTGAAAATATTTATAGCCCTCAGATGCTCAGTGGAAGGTTGCTATGAACTGACTCTACAAAAGAGAATCTGAGTCTGAACATTACAAAAGAGGAATAAATTATCAACATTGTCAAATATCTCAGCAAAATAATTAACATAACAACTTGACTATATCTATTGAAATGTGGAGAACAGATGCCTGGCCAACTGACTGGAAGAGATATATATTTGTTCCCATTCCCAAGAAACATGATGCAACAGAATATGGAAGTTGCCAAATAATATCAATAACATCACCTGTAAGCAAAATATTGCTGAAGATCATCCAAAAACAGCTAGAAGAGTACACAGGGAGCTACCAGAAGTTTAAGCTGGATTTAGTAGAGCCTCTGGCAATAGGGATATTATTGCTGATGTCAGACGGATCCTGGCTAAAAGCAGAGAATACCAAAAGAATGTCTATTTGTATTTTATTAACTATGCAAAGGCATTTGACTAGTGTGGATCACAACAAGCTATGT